TCCTTATTTGTTGTTGTTGTTATTGTTATATATATATATATATATCGCTTATGGGCTGCAATATTCGCACAACTCATAATTCAACTTGAAGGTTATTTTCGTTTAAGCAAACTAAAACATTGCTTATGCATTTTCCTTAGCAATGAAAACTTTAAACCCACTTATCTCAAAACATGATTTTTTATGTTGTGCCGCTATTGCAGCCCATGAGCGATATTATATATATATATAAACTGGTTTTTCAAACGTAGCTTTGAAAACTATACGGTGACAGGGACCATTCGTAAATTAGGTCACGCATTTTTTTTAACCATTTTGACCCCTCCTGTCAAAAATAAAAATTTGTGCTAATAGAAACAATTGTCAGAATGAAACGAAACTTTCCATACCTAAGTAGAAAGTTGATATAAGTAAGTGATTAAAATAATTAAATCAAAATAATCATTTATTGCCAGAAAAATACAAATGAGGGGAGGTTTTAGTATCCTCTTTGGTCACTTCAGGCGCGAATGCAGGATGCGATACGGTCGAAAATTGAGGCATGCAAGTGCTTATTGATGACCTGCAGCTTCTCGTTCAACCGTTTCGATAAAATACCACCAAATCGACTAAATTCGGAGGCTGTCCAACTTGCTGTGGGTCCCCAATATGCTCGCTCGTTGACAAATCAGGAGATCAAGCAGGCCAACGAAGGGTGGTATTACGTTAGACTGTGACATCCTTTCTGTGAATGTCAGAGTATTTTCTCATTGAAAATGGCTCCAGAGAGCCCTGCCATGAGTGGTAACACGTATGGCTAAAGGATGTCTCCTCTTTGTATCCTAGCGCCATGGATCAATAAAAAGAATGAATGTGTGTCCTATGCGACGTCACCCCGTGCCATAACTCCAGCTGTAGAACAGTTGTACTGCCGTTCAGTGTAGACAGGATTGATAAGTTCACCCTAAGCAATCCCCACTCGTACCCTATGGTCATAACAGTCAAAATTAGATTTAGAGTCATCGCTAAAAACGTTTTCGCTAGCAGTCCAATCGCGCCCGAGAGCGATACCACAACAAATGGAGACAACGGTCGGTGGGTGCAATCCTGTCTACGCTGTACTGCAACATACCACCACGATGCCATCGTATCCGGTTCATGATTACCCTTAGTATTGAACCACGGCGCAATGTCAGGCCAGTGGTACGTTCGGGACATCCTTCAACCACATATGTTGCCACGCATAGTAGAATTTTCATGGTTGGTAAGGCACTGGGCCCATATCCAAGAGCTCGTGGGTTCGATCTCCGCCGGCCGAATACTCCCCGTGTAGAAAATAGTTAATCTCTCGAGTCGCAAAGTCCTCTATATTCCCATGACAAATCAATACTTCAGGGGGTACTGATCCAGGAGTTTCCTTGTCTTCTAGATTGGTTCAAAATTACAAGGTTACGGAGTAGAACATTAGTAGTCGTAAACCCAAAATCGGGTCGGCTGTTCAACGACGGATATGAAATAAAAATATAAAAAAAAATGAGGTGAATCGGGTTCGAATACAGTCGATAGCAGGTTGATGCGAATTTCGCACCTGGCTTGTACCGACCACAGTGCTGACGTGAAATATCCTTAGTGTTAGACGGATCATGGGTTAGAGTCCCCTTGCCGTGAGGCTAACCGTGGGAGGTTCTCGTGGTCTTCTTCTCCGTGGTCTATATTAAATAGAGGTTATCAAGTGGAACATTTTTTTTAATTTTCATTGTTTATGTTCTTAATTATATAAGCAGTTTCCTTCTGAAAAAGAGCAGAAACAAAGAAATAAAAATTATGCAGAAACAAAGAAATACAACCGAAACATACAACCAAAGTAAATAGCATAAAACACTTGATTTTGCACTTTATCCGATCACCTAGTACAGGGATCGCCAAACTTTTTTGATCATCGACCCCTATGTAATTTTTCGAAATCTCCATCGACCCCCACAAAAGTAATTTTCTGTTAATTAAAATAAAACTCTATTAGATACTGTGTTTGTACATTTATTTTATGATTTTAAACATTTATTAAAGTAATAGTACATTGTGTAACAATAGTTTTATGAAAAATATATTAATATTGAAATTTAAATACCTTATTATTAAATAATAAGTAATTATGCATAAGTAGATATAATAAGTAAAGTAACTAAAGATTTNTATATTAAATAGAGGTTATGAAGTGGAACATTTTTTTTAATTTTCATTGTTTATGTTCTTAATTATATTAGCAGTTTCCTTCTGAAGAAGAGCAGAAACAAAGAAATAAAAATTATGCAGAAACAAAGAAATACAACCGAAACATACAACCGAAGTAAATAGCATAAAACACTTGATTTTGCACTTTATCCGATCACCTAGTAGTAGATGTGAAAATTTGCTAGATAGCGTGCGCATTAACAGTTTTTTAGCTTCTGCAGTTATAAACTAAAGAGCAGGAAACAATGAATAAAATTTTATAAAGAAACTCTTTTCATATGGATTAAAAAGGATAGAATAATTCTTTTTTTTTCACATAAAAATAAAAGAAATAAAGCGCGTCACTTTTAAAATAAGCTCCCATTATCACCGAAAATTCCTTCCCACGTGTTTCAAAAGTGGTGCATCAAAAAAAAAAATCGCTTTTTCAAACCACTTGAAAACGTAGTTCGTAAAACTTCGACTTCATTTTAATTATTTTATCTCTATACTACAACTCAATAATAATTTTTTAAAAAATGAGCAACGTCTAAAAGATCGATTTCTTTCTAGTTTCATTTATCCACAACTAATACTTGAGTTATTATTGGTGCATCTCCAAAACAATTTTCCATTAAATCTGTTTTCTTATCATATCCCTCCAGGGAACGATACGTTCCTTTCCTCTCTTTACAGCTGAATAAATTCCGACAAATCTCCATTTTATACCAGGAGGCAATTTCTTTAAATCCCCAAGAAGCAAATAGCGTTTTAAAGGATCAACAAACAGTACTTTCTCAACTAAGAATGGTATTCCTGATATCTTTTGGCATTATTTTTATTTTTCCCTTCGGCGTTACTTTCATTTTTCATTGAATACCTGATAATCTAAAATGCATTTTCCTGATTTTTTTAAATAAATAATGAATAAGTACCCAAAATAAGTCCCTCTAACTTCAGATCTCAGTTTTATTTTATTTTAACTTCTAAGAGGCAAATTTAATGTTTCGAGAGGAACTAGTAAATATTCTAATAAATAAGGCAGATTTTTATAGCATTTTATTTTTGGAATCTTTTTTTTTTTTTTTTTTTTTTTTTTTTTTTAAATCGGGGGTGGGAGCATTTTGTAAGATTATTTAGAGTAATGAAAAGTAGATTATTAGAGGGTTTAAAAATTTAGGTTAGACACATCCAATCATAAAATATACGGTAAATCATCGTTTACCATACAGCAGTGTTTCCCAAACTTATGAGTTTTGTGTAACCTTCCTAAATTTTTCGAAACACTTGTGTACCACTGATACGAAAATGAATGTATTTTTTTTAAAATATGTTATTTAAAAATATGCGATTGTATTTTCCTAAAAATATCATCATTACATGTTGTAGATACTAACCAGCCATCCATATTCCACGTTAGGGATAAAAATTATATTTTATAAAAATAATCAAAACAAGTAGAATTTATTACAAACCTTTACTATAAAAAAATTGCACCAAAGTTAAAAACCACAACTGGCGGTTGACACCACTAATTATTAACTCTGCAAAAAATAGCCAATAGAAAAAACGTAATCGTAAATTTTCATGGCTAGCTTTGTTTTCAAATAATTTTTTGTTGTAATTTTTGTTTGTTGCAAGATATTTCGCATAAGAACGCGTACCCCCAATAACCTGTTCCCGTACCCCTGGGAGTGCGCGTACCACTTTGGGAAACACTGCCATACAGCGTTGAGACTGTGGACTTACATTAAATAATACTAAAATTCTATCCAACCTTAAGAGGACGCCATGCTACGGGAGAAATTCTTCGCCGCAAGTTCTTTTTCACCTTAATTTAAAGTATAGGAAAAGTGAGTCCAGACAAACCTAGAATAAACCACAAAGTTTCAAATGATGAAAACAAATTTTTTAAATATCGAACTGAAAATAAATTATGTGAAGATAACTAGGGTTAAGCAATTGAGAATTTTTTTTTTCAATAATTTGTTTGCCTTTTGATATTTTGATTTTTTTAGCGATTAAAACTTAGTGACTTTCTCTAGGTTTGCCTGAACAAACTTTTCCGCCTTTAAATTTTCAATTAGCAATGCAGAGGAAAAAGAATTTGCGACTTAAAATGTCTCCCTTGGTATGGTGTCTTCTTAACACATTGAGCTCACCTTGGTGATTTTGTGCCGTTTTTCATTCATGTGAAATTATTGAAATGATTTTTTACCTGTCCTATATAAATTTAGCATGGAAATATATTCTGTCATAATTTACCTTCATGGTCAACGTTGTATTTTTGTTTTACCGTCATAATTTCATTTCTATTTTGCTGTTGACAATACTGTTTCCTTTTTCTAACCTGTGCTGTTCGGGGCAATATTTCCAACTGCTCCTCTTTTATCAAGAGTTAATTAAGCTAAGAAAAAAATTAAAAACAAGATCTTGCTGAATTTTGGTTAAATTTACTGAAACTTTAAAAATGTCTGGAAAACGGTGAAGTTTTATATGAAACACTAAATTACTTATATATAGTGATAAGAAAAAAAACTTTTATGTCTAAAAAAATTTTTTAAACAAAAAATCAAACATATTTTTTTTTCTTTACTAAAACTTTTTCCCACAGAGCAGTGCAAGTTAGCAATTACGACCTGGTTCAAACGCGTGAAATATATAATTTTTTCTCTTTTATTATGATGTAAACAAAATTTTTATTGACAAGTATATCTTACTGTATCAGTTTATAAGTATTTTTTTAATATTGTAAATGGGTAATAACAACAGTATACATAGGCGTGATGAGAAAGGAGTATTGCAACAGAGCAACATATAAACATTTTATTTATAAAGCACATCAATAACATTTCATGTCGAACTCACTTAATCAAAATATTACAAATACTCAATACACATCATATGAAACAGTAATTTAACAAATGCTCAAATTTGAAAAATATTTAAAACTAATAACACCTGTTTGAACTTTCACAGTACATTTTCTTTTTTTGTTATTCAAGTAATAAAGATTCTTTCTTCGTATCAAAGATATAGATCATAAAAGCAATATTTTAGTTATATTCTCAGATGTGTAGCTCGATATTTGACTTTCGATATTTGAACCTCAATTTGTCCTTCAAAAATAAAAGTAAAAGTAGAGTTATTTTTCTCTATATAAACTGATTTTTTTTCAACACGTAAATAAATTTGGCATCATTTTTAAACCGCTTAAGATTGAGTGGTCCAGAATTGAGACCAGAATTTTCAAAATTATTAACACGGTGCCGAAGTTTAAAAATTATCCAAATTGCTTGATCTTTCTATACAAAAAAATTAAGAAAAAATTGTAAATTCAAAATTGAATTCATACTTCCGAATTGAATTCATGGACTTCCACTTGTTCTAATTCGGTGAAAGATCTACGACATAATCATTACAAAATTGCCCTAAAAACAATCATTAAAAATGTTGCGATCATTTAAAACAATTTTAATGTCGACCAGTTTTAACTTTCATCGTAATTTCAATTTTAATAATAATCAATATCCATTATTAGGATCAAACAATGTGTGCTTAAACTCAATTTCGGCTCAAAAAAATTAATTGTGCTTAAGGAATCTATTTCAGAAGCCAGCTCTTTTTAATTAAATTATAATTTGACTTCAAAATTCTATTTTTAATAACTAACACTATCAATTACAAATGATTCCAAATGGGTTTTTTAAGTAAAAATGTCTGCCTATCATTAAAATTTTAAATCTTCCAAATACAGTAAACCATTCTTGGAGAATAAAATATTTATTACATTGGAATATTAACATAAACAATAAAAAGTAAATGTAATTTAGACTTTATATTTACAATACAGCAAATAGTTACATTCTTATGTACACATTTGATTTCATGTAAATTCTGTACAAACATAGCATATCTACAGTATACAGTATTTTGCCAGTTTGAATGTATATACAGTACAAAACGCAATTGTTTTAATTATAATTAAAACTAATTTCTAATAAAGTTTATTTGAATTTTTAATATATTGAGTAAGATAACATAACTTTAACGTGTTTTAAACTTAATAACGTAATTAAAACATGCATCAAAATTTGTAATTTTAACATTTTTTATTTTAGTCAGAACGAAATAATCTATCTCTTAAAAGATATGGAATTCTTTTGTTAATAAGCATATAAAATGTTGAAACTTAAATATAAATTTAAATTGAGATTTAAACGTGATATAATCCTAAATGTTTTAAAAATCTATATAGAAAATGCTGAAATATTAGGAATGTGGAAGTTTTGTATTTATAAATGTAATGCTATTTTGTTATTTTTAACACATTACAAAAACAATTAAACTCTAAAATAACTCATAGTGACGAAACATTATATAAAGAAAAACATTATTTTCTTATCATTAACATGTTTCTCAAACTACAACTTTTAAATAATTAAACATGCCATAAAGCCGCTAAAAAAGCTTTTATAGCAATAATGTAAAATAAGAATTTAATTTCCAAATCATTAATGTTTGTAATAAATGTATTAATGGTTGTTAGGTATATAAATTATGTAACCGGTTCTTACCAAATGTATTAATGGTTGTTACCATTACTACTTTCATGCATTTGTATAAAGCTTCGTTTATATCAAACTCCTGATTATAATCTATCAGGATAAAATGCAATTAAATATGTACAGATGTTAACATTTCTTTAAAATGGCATTGAAAAAAATTCTTTAAACCCACACAGCACAAAAAATCTCATAATTTTTAATCTCCCATTAATAAAACAGTGTTCATCTGCTATTCAAAACACTTTTTTATGTAATATAACAATCTATATATGTCGATCTATATATGCTCTCGGGTGTAATTCCAAAAAAGTGTCAATTTTATAGAACAAGGAATAGTTTTAATAATGTCTTAAAAAAAAACATTTTGGTTTGGTTGTAAAGTTGTAATGTATTAAAAGAATTTTATAGCTGACGCAAAAACAATGGTGGAAAAGAAATACTGCGTCCAGTCCAATCTTAAAGTTATTTATAATAACCTCAAGTCAATGAGACCCATATTTTGATTGTAAGTTATTAATTTACGAGGTGTGTTTAAATAGATTTTCGTTTAATCGTAGGTTTCATTAGATTAAAAGACGCTCAAAATATTTAGAAATAAAAAACCTCTAGGCAGTTAAACAAAATCTGTCAACTAAACAAATTTTATTAAGAATAATAGACAATTCATCTTAGCAAGAATTTTACTTCGGCGAAAATTGAGCTCAAAATTGGCACAATATTGGTCCTGTATGAACATGCACCGAAGGACCAACAATATCGGCATGTCCATATTTTTTAATATTGGTCCTATATAGAGTCAATATCGGTGTTTATAGGGCTAATATATAGTCTATACAAGTTGAATAATGAATATAAAATATCGAGTGAATCTGACAATTCTACATCGGGGTAATATCAGATAATAACGGCCCATTGAACTCTTATTGAGCCAATATTATTGAATATTGGTCCAATGAGGGACCAAGTTATTTTGCTGATATCGTAATAATATATTTGTTTAACTTATAATCGTTAGATGGCAGCACAATAAATTCTCAATCCTGTCCAGTTTAATAAATGTTTTAACCTTTTTGAAACGTTTCGGAAAAATAAAAATTTAAATAGCGTTATATATAAAAGATCTTTCCAACCTTTTAGGGCGGTAACAAACAAACATTGTCAAATCATTTTCGCTTGTCCAAAATATGTGGGATCATTTGTGCTGCGCGTCAAATCTATCAAAACTTAAAATATCACTTAACTAAAACACACTCTGGGCAAGGTTATTTCGAAAAAACTCCAAAATGGCTATCCATTAAGAATAGCACCAAGTACGTGACATACCCGCTATATTCCACTTGCGGTATTCGAACTTACAAAATCTAGAAACTGTTTTGCACAAAAATAAATTTTTATTTACTTGAAGAAAAAGTCCAGATTTTTTTTCTCCGGCGCATATTATAGATAATGGCGAGAGAACACAATGGAGACGATTACGATTAAGATGAGAGAGGTTGGAAATGATGAAAGGAAGTTTCCAGATGATGCCATTCTACAATCTTCTGAATCATGTTTAAAGCTTGCACAGTGTGTTTGCACCATAGGACCACCTGCTTTAGTAATGATTTGTTCTCCAAGCCGGGCTGCCTCAACGTTGCATTTTTGTTCTACAGCAATTCTAGTGCATTCTCTGTATCCGTCGAACAAACTGGAAAAAATGAAAAATAAATTCTATACATGACAGAATTTTAAATATCAAGAACGCATAAGGAGCAGTTTAAATATTTAATTACGTAAGCAACAAAGGAACGATTAAATAATTTCAAGAAACGGAAGCAGCAAGACATTAAGCTGATATAAATTTATAATAAAATATCGCTCTAAATTTCGTAAATCAAAAGTTGCACAGGATAATATATTTTTTTTTTGCATTGTTCATCACTATTCTTTTCAAATACACTGGTGGACAAAATTAAGAGATGGAAGACATTTTCCCAAATATCTCAAATACTTAATATAAATAAATGAAATTTGGAATGGATATAGATTATTCCATGACAATAAAGTATGCAAAACAAAAATGAAAGTGCCATTCACTGGCAAGACCTATTGCCAATAAACCCAATGTAGTCTGAACTTAAGGATAAAAGATGACAATAAAAGTGAGGCTTGTACACCGTGTGTTGCCTCTAGTATGGTCACCCCTGACAGAAAGACAGCATGCACAACGAGTATGCCTGCTATGCTGTTAATAAGGGAGTTAAGGAGGACTTGAGGAAGACCCTTCCATTTTTCAGCCAGAGCAATTTTTAACTCCAGAATGGTTCTAGGGGGAGGTTGGAGCATCGCAATAGATCTCCCAAGAGCATCCCAAGCATGCTCAATAGGATTCAAGTCAGGGGATTTCGCTGGCCAATCCATTCGTTGAATAATCTCGCTTTCCAGATACTCATCAACCACGACAGCCCTATATGGTCGCGCATTGTCGTCCATAAAAATGAACTCAGGGCCAACAGCGCCCCTGAAAAGACGCACATAGGGCTCTAGAACCTCCTGTCTGTACCTCTGGGCATTCACGGAACCATTGTCAAACACATGGAGCGGTGTGCGGGTATCTTGAATGTACGAATGAATGTGCGAAAATGCTTTCCATCTCTTAATTTTGTCCACCAGCGGAACTTAGTCTTGGTCGAAGAATTTGCTTCTGGTAATCTGTTCAGTTTCTCAAATTGATTTTGTGAAACCTAATACCAAGCTGGTCATGCATAAGTCATGAGAGGTCTTAACATAGCTGTGTATATTAAATAGATAATTCTAAGAAACTAAAGCGGTAAGATATTACTTGATTAGAAAAAAAGTCATTCGCTTCAAAACATATAAATAGGAATGCAATAACTATTCAAAATATATAAATAGGAAAATATATAGTCGGCATGCTTCAAGTGCTCATAAACAGACTCTCATTATCATGACTTTCCAGACGTGTATGAGAAGAAACAGTCCCACAGTGGACTGATCGTTCAGACACGATTCCCGTCAGATCACCGAAGTCAAGCATCACTGGCTGCGGTCTGTGTGCGGGTGGGGGACCACTTGGATCAGTCTGCGTAGGGACCGAGGGTGTGCGGCATTGGTCCTCGTTCTACCGTAAAGTGCTCGACTTCGCGTGCGTGCCGTTGAGCTACCGAAGCGGGGGTGCCATCACATCTGCAGAGGATCGAATTGTGATGGCATTTCTTCGGATCATCCTCAGGGATGTTTCCCAAACTGTCGCTAATAGCCCATTGCTCAGCTCCAGTGCGACGTAAATCAACAACAACAATGAAAAGAAACAAGAGTAATTTGAAGTAAAATTGCCAACGAAAGTTACTTTTGTTTTTCACTTTTATTTTTCTAAGAAAAACCACAGTGGACGAGGGGGAAAATCGGGATAAAATGCATTTCCACGCACTATAGAGAGGTGGTGAGGAACTATCGTCTTTAGTTGATTAGCATTTATATGAAATCTTGATGCCCAGGATTATTGTTTTATTCATATGAATGCTGATTCCCTTTCTTAACAACGTTAGTTCCTCACAACTTCTCCGTAGAGCATTTTATCCTGATTTGCTCCCCTCGGCTACTGTGGTTTTTCTTTTTTGTCTTTCACTTTTATTTTTCCATATTTAACTTTAGGTTTTTTATTTCAAATCCCATTTTTTTCTTCTCGCTCACGTCTGGAAGTCTTAAAAAAGGACGCTTATTTTTAAAACGCTTGAAACATGTCGACTGTTATCTGTTATTTATATTTTTTTTTTTGATACAAATGAAATTTTTAATACGATAACAAAGCCCGGTTGCCACCATTTTGGCGGAGGTACTCGTATAAAAATGTTAGACTTATAAACTTCCATTAAACTTTTCAAACATAGACAACATTTTAATTACGTACAGCATTATGATTCTCTTGTAACTACAATTACCAGTAATAAATCACATTTTCGCACACATGTTGTGTGAATAAAAATTCATTATCAGATTATTCAAGTTCAAAGAATTACCAAACTGAAGTGTTTACATTAGTTTAAGAAAGAAAATCAAAGAAAGGTTATTTAATTGGGGGAAGCTGTTGAAGCGAACGTTTCTAATTAAGAAAATATTAATTAGTCAAAACTATTTTGATGGTTCAATTATTCTTAACCGAAAGAATATTTTCATCGATAAATAAGTGATTCTTTAATTCTTAAAATTAATTAATTTCCTTATTATTTGAGAAAATATATAATTTTTGAAAAATTGTATTGATCTCAGAACATGTGAACACTCTCTCTCCGTTTCAAAACAAGTTATATTATTTTTAAATTGTTAGCAAAGGAATATTTGACTCTAGAGAAACTGGATTTCTTTAAGGAATCAGTCAGTACACACACACATACTTAGTTTAAATTAAATAATTACATGTACTTGATTGCAACGAGATTTTCTAAACTGAAAACTTCACTAAATACCAACACCTACAGTTTAATAACTAACATTACAATTTCATTAACCTTTACAATTTTTTAATAATTTTGAGTTAGTAGCTTTATAATACAGATTAATAAATATCACATTTTTGGAAATTTTATAAAGCGTATAACAACTGTTTATGTAACGTGTATACAGCTGTTTTCTGTAGTAGTACTATTATTTACGTCGCACTAGAGCTGTTTAATAGGCGACGGTCTGGGAAATATCCCTTAGAATGATTCGAAGATGTGCTTTTTTTTTACACAATTTTCATCCTCTCTCTGCAGTAGATATGATTCCCCCGGTTTGAATCCCCTCTGTGGAGTGTGATGGCATGTCTTCGGATCATCCTCAGGGATGTCTTCCAGACCGTCACCAATAGCCCATTGTGTGCAGCTCTAGTGTGACGTAAATGAACAAATCCCGATGAATTGCATGCAAAGTCTTTACCTCAGAATTGTTTTGATAAACATCTTTGGTCTCTTTGCTGACCGATCAAAATGTTCATCCACCATCTCACTGACCACAATCAGTGTAATGCAGTGATTTACTGGGAAACCATGCATGCCTTACTATCAGTTCATTCTGGGGTTATTTTTCCAAAATGAACCAACCATAGATACAGTTTGTTTTTTATTTTTAAAGTAGAATTGTTGTTCGTAACAAATCTAATAGTTGGTTTAAAAATTCATATCATGCTCTCTAGCTTTTTAAGCCACGTTAGATTTTAAGTTAATCTTGTTGATTCAAACACAAGACACGTAATAGCCACTTTTAATGTTTTTTTTTTAAATCCAAAATGAATGCAAAATGAATTTTTGCCAAAAATGAATGCAAGAAATTATACATATGAAGGGTTACAAATCAATATTTAAACGAGGAAGGAACAAAAACGTTATTGAAATCTAACGAAATGCAATTGAAGAGTATCAAAACTTGTGCAATATAGAAGTTGTAAATTGATTGCTGGAAACACGTCCACAAGTTTCGTAAGGTAACCTAACTGGTTTTTATTGTTAACCCTGGAAGCGTTGAACCCCTACTCAAAACTACACCGCAATTTCTCTGCTACGCACTTTCCTCTCATTGAATAATCTGAGTAATACAGGTTTTTTGATGTAACAAAAGCTATAATCTAAGTTCAGAAAATGACTGGAAGAATTTAAATTCCTGCCTTCTTCACTAGTGATTTGATAGCTAAGCTAATGATTTTGATAACTTTGATACTGTTTTTTCCTCTCTAAATGTCAATTTGAGCCCCCCCCCCGAATGCTATAACTATAGTTTGCCTGACAAAGATTCTAAATATATATATTAATGGGTAAGGCTGCATATTCAAGGCTATGTACTCAAAATAACTCAATTTATATTCAGCTACCAAATTTTACTTTAATACATTAATCAGAGCAAAAATTTGCTTTAAAATGTAAAATGTCTTAAGAGAAACAGTTAAAAATATCAAAAAGCTTTCGTAATTTGCAATAGCATTTTCTATTGTATAACAATAACAAGCTTTAATTAAAATATCAAATTTAACTAGTTTAATTCTTGATAAATTATGTTTAAAATACATAGAAAATAAACTTATACCGTTAATAAACGCTCTTATTCTATTAAGTACTTTTTTTAGACTAAAGATAAACACTGATTACTCAATTTCATTTAATAATTTTATTTCCGTGAAACAAAGATATCCGTGATCACCAAAATAAATTATGTAAGTAGTTATATTTATTTTGCTGAAACCATGCATTTGAAACTTTTTCCCAAACTTACGTTTTGTCATTTTATAAAGTATTGTGGGGAAAGTAGTTTTCGACAATGTCAACTTTCATTCATCTAATGATAACTCAAAGATGGAATCGAGTTAGCACCTTAGATGCTAATAAATTGATATTTAATAATCGTAGTGGTAGTTATGCTACAATACTCCCCCACTAGAATTTTATCAGGGATAGAATTCGATGAAAGGATAGTACTATTCGTAGTATTTTTGAAAGACAGGGAGAGTTGTATTAAGGCCACCAGATTTTGAGGGCTGGTGGCGTGAGCTGTAGTGCACCAGGTTTTTAAAGTTAGTCATGACAGCTCCATTAAGTTTACTGTTGTGTGCTTGGACAACTCCACTGTTGAAGTCTAGTGTGTGCAGGATCCCGTTATTAGATATGAGCGACTGAGTAGCAACAGCGTGAGGTGGACAATGACGCAGTCACAAATAGC